TTTCAAGCAGAGTGAGTCTCATAAAAAGGAAAAGAAATAACAATGGATTCATGAAACTACAGACCTATCAGCCTGATCTTAATACTTGGGAAGATTCTGGAAAAGATAATCAAGCTACGAATCAGCGAACACCTAGAGGCAAACAAAGTCATTACCAAAAGCCAACATGGGTTTGTCAAAAACAGACCACGCCAGACAAATCTTATTGCATTCTTTGATTAGGTGACAAAATTAGTGGACCAGAGGAATTCTGTAGATATAATTTACTTGGATTTCAGTAAGGTATTTGATAAAGTAGACCACAACCTACTACTTGATAAGATAGAAAAATGTGGGTTAGACAGCATCATCACAAAATGGATTCGTAGCTGGCTGACCAGCCGTACTCAGCATGTGGTCCTCAATAGAACTGCATCTACATGGAGGGAAGTTTGTATTGGGGTGCCCCAGGGCTCTGTTGTGGGCCCAGTGCTCTACAACATCTTCATCAATGATTTGGATGAGGGAATAGATGGGGAACTCATCAAATTTGCAGATGACACAAGCTGGCAGGAATAGCCAACATTCCAAAGATAGGCTTAAGATACAGGAGGATCTTGACAGACTTGAACATTGGGTGCTATCTAACAAAATGAAATTCAATGGTGAAAAAAGTAAGGTTCTACATTTAGGTAAGAAAAACCAAAGGCAAAGGTATAGTATAGGAGGTACTTTGCTCAGTAGTAGCAACTGTGAGAGGGATCTTGGAGTCCTAGTGGATAATAAGTTAAATATGAGCCAGCAGTATGCCAACAAAGTGCTAGGCTGCATTAACAGAGGGATAGAATCAAGATCATGTGAAGTATTAATAGCACTTTACAATGCCTTGGTAAGGCCACACTTGGAACACTGCATCCAGTTTTGGTCACCACAATGTCAAAAAGATGTTGAGAATATAGAAAGAGTACAGAGAAGAGCAACAAAGATGATTAGGGGACTGGAGGCTAAAGCATATAAGGAACGGCTGCTGGAATTGGGTATGTCTAGTTTAATGAAAAGAAGGACGAGGGGGGGGATATGATAGCAGTGTTCCAATATCTCAGGGGCTGCCACAAAGAAGAGGGAGTCAAGCTATTCTCCAAAACACCTGAATGCAGGACAAGAAGCAATGGATGGAAACTAATCAAGGAGAGAAGCAACCTATAACTAAGGACAAACTTCCTGACAGTTAAAACAATTGATCAATGGAACAACCTGTCTCCAGAAGTGTGAATGCTCCATCACTGGAAGTTTTTAAGAAGAGACTGGACAGCCATTTGTCTGAAATGGTATAGGGTTTCCTGCCTGAGCAGGGGGTTGGACTAGATGATCTCTAAGATCCCTTCCAACTTTATTGTTGTTGTTGTTGTTATCTCCCTCCCCCTACTTCACATTCAGAGCAGCTTTTCAATTTTGAAAAATACTTCAGCAGAAACTCTAATGGATTTTACCAAAATATTGCTTTTGTGTGCTTCCTTCACATTTAATGCTACTTCTTCTCCATTTTCCATCTCATCTACTCCTTTCAAATAAGTTACATTTGAAGTGTATGTAAGGTTCAATTCTTGCATTCCACTTATCAGTTTCATCCCAACAGATTTTAGTAATGGCTACTAATCATATTAGATTTCCTTCATTAAAACTTCTAGGTCTTGGTTGTTTCCAATAGACAGTGTATTTGAATAGGTTCACTGGAATCCCTGAGAAACATAACATAATCTGTTCTTCCCTGTATTTATGTGTTCATTATTGGGTGCATTTGCAATCTGTGAGCCTTCCCCAGTTCCAGATGCATAAAACTTCCATAAATCATCATGTGTAATTCTAATTATTGCAGAAATATCCAAGAAATATATACATAGCAAAGTAAAAGAAATACTTTATTAACAATACTCACTTGATATGTCAATTATCAATACTTAATTTAAAATATCAGTAACTTAATTTGATAAAATATTCTGGAAATTAGTCTCAAAGAGACTGCAAGTTAACAGGGACAGATTGATGCAGTATGTGCCTTCCCATGAGGTTTTGGTATTAGCCATATTAGATGTATAAAGCAACCTCTACAGAGAGATTCACATGGTGTTCATATTATGGTCTTCATAGGGCCAGTATCAAAACCACATCTCTCCATACCAGTTAAAGTGTTACTTTGGCACTCAGCTGCTTTGAAATTCATTTGGTGCTCAAGGCATTGTGACATGAACATTTTGTCCTGGTACTGATCGTTTGTTTGGCACTCAAAGCTCAAATTAGAACTTGTGTTGGCTGCCTTGTGACTCATTACATTATTCCTTATGGGAAAAATGTGCTTGGTACTCATCGCACCTCCCCGAACCAATTAACGATGAGTGCCAAGGTTCCACTGTATTTACTTTTAATTTGGGGTTTTCTTCTACTATTATTGTTACTTTGCTATGAGTTTTATTCTGGTATCTAGTCTTCATTTTATATTATTCTTATAAATGAAGGAAAATATACATATCCCAGGATATTGGATTCTGCTATATTATTTTTGTATTGATTTTTCTGTTTTAATGCTTTAGACTAAATTATTACATAATTTTAATTGGGCAATATATACATGCTAAGAAAAAATAAATAAATAAATAAATAAAATCCTCTGTTATGTCAAGCTTGGATTCAGATATTTTGGTGCTCATAAATATTCTCATGAACTTTTCTACTGTCTTGTTTATTTTAAAATGGATGATTTGTGTTCTTTTCATAAAACAGCCCATCCAAAATCAATAAAAGTTTTCAATGCCAATTTTTATAAATACACTCAAAGTTACTTCGGCAGGATCTATTACTATAGTTTTCTACACTGAAACTATAAACTACTGTGTAAATTGAATACAGATACTCCTTCAAAGTATGTATGAATTCTTATCTCTTTTACTTCACCACTGCAGGAAGGATGAATTGAGTTATGTCAGATATTACATTAATGATGTCATGAAAACAAAGCCATTATGCTTGATTTCAGCTCCCCAATCTGGCACTTTCCATTTGTATAATAGCCATAAATCTCAGCCACTATAATTATGGTAGTTATAGTATGTATATGCAGTTTTTCCCAATCTGGTACCTTTCATTTGTGATGAAATTCAACTCCAATAATCCCAACTGTGAACAGTATTGATGAAATCTGACACACTGGGTTACAATCTAATTGCTGTACAAGGCATATATTTTATAAATTAGGAAAATATCACACTCTTAATAGGTATCAAAAGTATTTGTAAAGTTGTATGAATTTGACAGTCAACCCATTTACATCTTTTTTTAAAAAATAGAATATGATTAAGTAGAAATACATACGGTAGTTTAACTCAAGTACACTAAATGATTTGAAATCAATTGAAATTAAAGACCACTCTTCCTATAAATACAGTACCTATGATTTACACAAATTATAGAGCCCCTCTAGAAATCTTATAACTTACCAGCTATAAGATGGAAGAAATTTTAGAATATTTAACATAATTTGTTTTCCATTTCTTGTTTTTATTACTATATTATTTATAATTAATTATTCCTGCCACATAATCTGTTATAGCTGCCCAAAGTCACTGTACTGGTTAGATAAGTGGTATAGAAATTTGATAAATAAAAATTTTATATATATATATATATATATATATATATATATATATATATATATATATATATATACTAATACAGCGAAACATTTCACCATTTCACATTAACACTCTGACATACTTTTGCATGTATATATCTTTTGTTATAATACTAGTCACAATTATGGCTAATATAGTATTGCCAAGAAAATGAACATCTGTAAATGTGACCTTTATGTTTTATTATTCCGTCAGAGTCTCCTTTATTTGTATTTTGCAGCAAAATTGTTAAGAGTTCTGTGTTACTTTGAAGGCAAACCAATTCTTTATCACATAAAATTTTGAGGACCTTACTCTTTCTAAGTTAAAATTCAGGAAACCTTATATGATGTAATAAAATTGATTTTTTTTTTACTATGTCCCAAGACTTTTATAAAAGTTTTTGTTGCCACTGTTGTTTTTCTGAAGATATTACATCAAATTGTTTTCCTGGATTTTTAAAAGATGGGTAAAATTATTTATTTGGTCATTAGTTATTTATGTATAATTTCATTTGCTCTCCATACAAAAATATTAGTTTTGTATACTATATTTTAAGAATGTAATATATCATGATTCTTAATTTACATAAAATAAATTAATAGTTGTATGACTTATTTTTAAAGCACAACCTATGTTTCCATAGCAAGGCTCCCAGTGAATAGTTGGTAGGTTCTTGATATATAATTCAAAATTAATGTAGAAGTCAAACATTGACATATCTGGAAATGATAAAAATGGATTTGCATTCCAGTGTTAACACACACATTAAGATAATTATAGGAGATTCATACATAGTTGGAATGAGCATGTACTATTAAGATAATGTACCTTTACTTATATAACAAATATTTAAAATATAGCTAACTCAGGCAACAGATTTTGAGCACCATTAAGGGGCAATAAATTGTAATGAAGTTGTCATTATTATTCTTTTAATGTACTTGCTTCTTTATGTCCAAAATGTTGATTAATGGCAGACCTAGATATCTGATCTTCCTGTTGAATTTAGGATTTGAACAGACAAAATAGTTTTAGATGTACAAATATACTATTTCACATTACTAAAGCATATAAAGAGAATTGATATCAAAGATTTAATAGTATCTGAAAATTCTGATGACCATTTTGGCTTTGGATAACATGGTAAACCACAAACATGATTAAAGAGCTTGAGTGTATTAGGGGTTAAAATGACAAAGCACTCTTATTAATATGCTCTGCAGCTTTGTGATTTGTACAAACACTGCTTTTTACTATTGTACGCACATTTGCTCTTAGAATTGAAAAGCCTATTAGTAGCTTTGGTTCCCTTTGTCCTCAAATATACTGATTATTAATATATTTCACTTTCAGTTGCCTGTCAGCAGCTACACATTGCTGATTCATCCTGCTTCCTTACAGTACATACCAGAGGAAATAGGATTGCAGTTCTTGAGAGAACATATCTCAGATGGAAACATGCAGCATTCAAGGTCTCTACAGGCATTCAACCTGAACTCATGAGGCTTAAATACATGGTGTGTTCAAGCTTCATACTGGTATCTTTTCACATTCGTGTCTTCTAGAAAACATTGTGCTAAATTTCACACGGGAGATATTTTACACATTTTCTTGTAGGCAACAACTGTGATAAGGAAGAGCTCTTAGTCACTAAAATACTTGCAATCACTAATAGATAAGCTAATGGAGATGAGTATACCACCATTTTATCTCAAACTCTACATCACTTTTTAACCAGCTTTATTAAAGTTAAGTGTCCTGCTCAGATTTGGACTAGCCTCTATTTCCACTTAAGACAAAACAGAATTTTAAATGAAACTTTATTGATTTTCAATTCTGGTTTATGTTATGAAAACAAAAAATATATATATTTATACAATGTTAGATAATATCCATACTTTAAGTCATGGGTGTCAAACTCGTCACGACACATGACGTGTCGTGATATATCACGACTTTTTTCACATAGTGGGAGCTGGGGTGGGCACAGCCTCCCTATGATGAAACCGGCCCGTGGGCCAGCAGTTGACACTCTTGCTCTAAGTCAATGAGTTTTAATATTTGCCTAACCAGAACTGATGTTAGCTATCATCAAGATTCAGTTTAAACATAATCTGGATTATTTCATTTTTAGCTATTTGGTTATTGCCCTCCCATTATATTTTTTTTAAAAAAATTATACTTAAGAAAATTGTAGGACAAGAACATTAGACTTTGTGTCCAACCTTCTTAAAATTTAAATTAACAATTTTAATTTCTAGCATAGGTTTTTTTTAGTAAAAATCAACTTAAAATATTATCATTGGTGCAGTCAGGAAAAGCAAGTAGACCAGCTGCAGAGCTTTTAAAATATGAGCACAAATGGGAGGTGTCAGCTCAAGGAAGTGATCAACTAGAGATAATATCATATGGGTAGGAATAATGGAGAATTTAGAGTAGGGGTGTCAAACTGGCAGCCTGCTGGCCAGATGTGTCACATGCAGGCCATGCCCACCCCTGGGTCCACAAAGGCAAAAAATGTTGCAATACGTCACAATATATCATGTGAGGCGATCGAGTTTGACACCCATGATTTAGAGGATGAGATAGGATGGTGAATATGTTTGCTAATTCTAGCTGCTTTCTTCAAATACAGATTATAGCTATGTAATGTTTTACACATTACAATTACAATTCTCTATAAAGATTCCCTAGGAATTTGTCTCACTGGATGTGTTTGTACAGAATGTTAAACCAGATTTAACCATGGTTTACTGCATTAATCTAGTTGCCAGGGCATACCAAACACACTGAAGCATGAACTAACCACAATACTACTGTTGTTGCCTCTAAATTCTCAACCATTGCAGGAAAGGCATGCAGAAAAGTCTTAATTTTTTGTTGTCATCTAATGGTTGTCCAGAGTTCCACAGCTGTGATCTGATAAAACCTATACTTAACTGACCTGATTTGGTGAGTACACTGAACTATAAACCAAGCACATTTTAACTATGCATATTATGCAAACCCAGCTTTCTTGATTGGATTCAAATTCTGATATATAATCTTCTGGTAGCTGATCTCAATTCCTCCATGTTTCTTTGATTTTATTATTGCAGGCAATTCAGTATGCATGTAAGGGGAATGTCAAGCTACAAACCCTACGGTCTTTAGGACTGCGACATACTTCTAACTTGCCAACAGTGCGGGAAGAAGAGAGGGGAGAATTTTGAATCCACAGGTGTCCTTATCAGTGTGAGAGCCGGAGCTGTTGAAGAGTTATTTTGGCAAACCAAAGTTTCTTCTCATAATACTTACTGAACAATGTACTGGACAATGTGACCCAAATGTGTCAGAGAGGGGAAGGAAAGTTCCATCATTTTAATTAACTGCTTCCCGCCATTTCCTCAGAGCTAGCTTTCCTTTAACCCTGCCGGTTTGTTTCTGCTCAATAAAGAATACATTAGAGAATGCAATGGCTCCGGTGTTTTGCTTTGGTTGGGCTTTTCAGTTGGAGGTTGACAGGAGAATTAGAACCCAATTCAGCTCTGTGCTACATACATTTTTCCATTCTCTATAATATCCCACAGCAATAACTTAATATGCCTTTTTCAACTGCTACAGAGAGTTGAGGGATCCATTCAAAAGGTTTGAGAATTAGAACTAGAATAATAGAGTTGGAAGGGATCTTGTAGGGATCTTCCCACACAAGCAGGAAACTCTACACCATTTCTGACAGATGGCAGTCCAGTCTCTTCTTGAAAGCTTCTAGTGATGAAGCTTCCACAACATCTGGAGGCAAACTGTTCCATTGCTGGATTGGCTTGGATGGAGTGGGGAATCAGAAAAGGATTCCCCCCCCCCCATTGGATATAAACAACATTGTGAGTAAAGCTGCACTTGTGATAGAACCACCTCATTTTGGGAAGTGTCCCTCTGTTCCAGCACCACAATCTAATTCAGTAAAAATCCTTTGAGTCTTCTTTGTAGATTTTAGAGACAGCTGAAAGGACTACTTGGGATGAACAAACCAGAAAGCTTAGATAAGTACTTTACAAACATTCTCTTGTATTAAATGAATGATTGGTTCCTTCTCAACAGAAACTAGAATTTGAAGTTCAGTGCTTCTTGAAAGCTCCAGATTACAGAAGGATGACTTAAAAGTTTGACAATGGACAGTACTTTATAGCATTCCTTTTAATTTATTATAATAAAAACAATAAGTAAACAGTTTAAATCTTCAATTCCTATTGGACTTATATCATTGTGAATGTCCAGCACTCATCAAAACTGTATTAAAGCTTTTATAGCCTAGTCCAAATAAAGACACATTATTTTACTTTTAACGTAATTGTACTTCTTTGATTTTTCTGGGAAATACAAGATATGACACAAAATAATTTGGACAGAGGATCTAAATTTACTGTAGTTGATACAAATGTAGGCTAATAAACTTACCTATTCTAATCAATACATAGTGTTTCATTTGTACAGCTATGAATGATATTTTAGTAGCAAAGGAAAAGTCTAATTGAGAAGTGCAGTGTTTGTTTAACAAACTCTTTTTCTACACTGAATTTTCCGTTACAGAACTGAATGTGCAAAAAATCCTCTCTCATCTTTCTATCATAGCAATAGCACTTAGACTTATACACTGCCCCAAACTGCTTTACAGCATTCTCTAAGTCAGACATGTCAAACTCGAGACGTCACAGGACGTCACGTGATATATTGAAGCTTTTTCCCCATTGTCAGCAATAGGGTGGGCACGGTTTCATTGTGACGTGTCCGGCCTGCAGGCTAGCAGTTTGACATTCCTGCTCTAAGTGATTTACAGAGTCAACATATTGCCCCAACAGTCTGAGTCTTCATTTTACCAACTTCGGAAGGATGGAAAGCTGAGTCAACCTTGAGCCTGTCAGGATCTAACTCCAGGCTGTGGGCAGAGTTAGTCTACAATACTGCATTCTAACCACTGAGCCACCAGTGCCATGTATTTCTTAACTACTGTGGGGAAACGGAGTTTATTTGTGTTGTATAATATGTTTCAAGTTTATACTGTTTGGGGAAATAATAAATTTATTTTAGATCCATAACTCATATTCAAAAATTTGTATATTGAGATTGTATACTGAGGCTTTATCTTTTGATTGATATTCTGATCTCATTTATGCTTATCTGTCCTTTGAAGCATCTTAATGAAGGAGGGAAAGCTATATTCTGTCTCCTACCAAGTCAAATTGATCATGAAGGACAAATTGATCATGAATAATTAAAGTTTTATTTAAGAATATCATATGTACAGATAATATAGGATATAAACTTTTTTAAAGCAATACTTAAAATTTAACAAAATTCCTTATTCATAGTTAAATATAGATTGACTATTCAGTTCATCGAAGGGATTTTTTTAAAGGTATGCTATCTTTTTTCTTTTTTATCTGTTCTACTCTGCCCAACTATCACCTGCTTCTTTTCTTGCTCCTACTCTCCCAATTGTATTGTCACTAATTATCACACAATATAATTAATTATTGTATTATCATAATTATTACTAATTATTTACCTGATATGGAAGTGGCCAGTTAGCTTTTTCATCTCATTCTAGTAGAAAAATATTTTTTTTTAATTGAAAATTTTTAAAGTTTTACAAAAAAAGTTCCCCCCAACCCTCCCAACCCACCCCAACCCTCCCCCAACCTTCCCAGAGCTGAATGCAGGCTTAATTAAAATTTAAAAGAAAAATTTTTAAACACAAATAAACCATATACAAATTTGGTTACAATAATTAAACAAATCATAAAATATTTTAACACCAATATTTAAAAAACAGAAAGAGAAAAAGAAAAGAAACAAGAAAAGAAAAAAAAAGAAATTAGAAAGAGAAAAAAAAATATCTAAAAATATCTTAAACTTTAAATATAAATTATTCAAAAGCTAAATAATATTTTTATATCATACTTATATTGTATAAAATTTATCCATCTTTTCCATACCCAAAGGTACTTCTCTTGCAATTGATCTTTCAAAAAAGCCGAAATCTTTGCCATTTCCGCTAAATAGGAAACTTTAAAAAACCATTTTTGCAAAGTAGGCAAGGATTCCTTCTTCCAACATTGCCCTACTAACAACCTAGCCGCTGTAATTAAATTTAACATTAATATAGTTTCTTGACTGTCACAATCGGAAACAATACCCAACAAAAACAATTGTGGAGTAAATTTTATCCTTCTTTTAAAAATTCTTTGAATATTCTACCATATCTTAATTCAAAAAGCTTTTATATTTTTGCATAACCACCAAATATGATAATAAGTGGCATCTAAACAGCCACATCTCCAACATTTAGGCTGCAAGTTTGAATACATACGAGACATTTTTTGTGGATCAAGGTGCCATCTGTAAAACATTTTATAAAAGTTTTCCCGTAAATTTTGGGCTTGTGTAAATTTAACATTCCTCACCCAAATAATCTCCCAAGTATCTAATGGAACCGATTCATTAAAGTTTTGTGCCCATTTAACCATACAATCTTTAACTAGTTCTGCTTCTGAATCCAGTTCCACTAACACCCCATAAATTCTTTTGATATGGGTTCATCTTTGATCTTTTATTTGTTTTAACAAATTCTCATCCTCTCTAAGCAAACCCCCTTACAATCTATCTTCCACCTTTCCAATAATTGTCTATACTGAAACCATGAATAAATAATATTTTCTTGTGTTAAATCTTCCATGGATTTTAATTGCCAATTTTTACCATCCCATCTAAGTAATTGTGTATAAGAAGTACTATCCATCTTAACTCCTCTCCTTCTCCCTTCTATCGCATGCCATGGAATAGCCCGTAATGGAATTCTTGAATCACTCCTATAATATTTCTTCCAAACCCAAAGTAAGGAAGTTCTTAAAATATGAGACTAAAAAACCCTATCAACCTTCTTATTAAAAATTATATAGGCATGCCATCCAAAAAGTAAATCCCATCCCTCCAGGAGGAGTACGTCTACATTTGTTAAGTTAACCCAATCACTAATTAATGTTAACACCACAGCATCATAATACAATTTCAGATTCGGTACCTTGAGTCCATCTCTCTCACGAATATCTTGTATAATTTTAAGTTTTACTCTTGGTTTTTTCCCTGCCCAAATAAATTTGTTGATACCTTTCTGCCATTCGTTTAAATTAACCTCATTCTTTAAAATAGGTATCATTTGAAATAAAAAGAGAAACTTTGGCAAAACATTCATTTTAATCGCTGCAATTCTCCCCAATAGGGACAATTGCAGCTTCTTCCAGTTTCCCAAATCCTTTTGTATTTTAACCCACAGCCTTTCTTAATTATTTTTATACAGTTTTGCATTAGAAACAGATAAAATAACCCCCAGATATTTTACCTTATTAACAGCCTCAAAATCTGTCAACCTAACTAGGGTCTCCTTATCCAAATTGGTCGTATTTTTAAGCAATATTTTGGTCTTATTATTATTAATTTTAAAACCCGAAACTTGTCCATACTGGTGTATCAGTTGTAACAATTCAATTACAGAATAAGTTGGTTGGGATAAAGTAACAACCAAATCATCTGCAAAAGCCCTTAATTTATATTCTTTTTTATTGACTTCTATTCCTTTTATTTTCTGTGATTCCCGAATTTTAATCAGCAAAATTTCCAAAGTTAAAACAAACAGCAATGGTGACAATGGACAACCCTGTCTGGTCCCCTTCTCAATTGAAAACACCTCTGACAAACCACCATTAACTATAAGTTGTGCCGTTTGTTTTTGATAAATAACACGGAGAGCTTGTAAAAGATTTTCTCCAAAATTCATTTCCTCAATTAATCTTAACATAAATTGCCAATTTAACTGATCAAAAGCTTTTTCAGCATCTAAAAATATCAATCCTGCAGAAACTTGGTTGTTTTTATCCAAATATTCTATTAAGTTAATAATTTGTCTAACATTGTTCTTCATATACCTTCCAGTTATAAAACCCGTTTGATCCATGTGTATTAATTGTTTTAACACCCTCATAAGTCTATTAGCTAGAATTTTCGAGAAAATCTTATAATCTACATTCAAAAGAGATATGGGTCTATAATTCTTTGGTAAAGTGAGATCTTGGTCTTCTTTTGGAATCAAAGATATGAAAGCCCTGCCCCATGACAAGGGGGTCTCTGAACCCTGTAATATATTGTTAAAAAGTTCCCTTAAAGGTTGTTTCAACTCTTCTACCAAGGTTTTATAATAAATAGATGTCAGTCCGTCAGTACCCGGTGCTTTACCTAATTTTAATTCTTTAATTACTGTCTCAATTTCCTCAGTGGTAATCAAACTGTTAATTTTTTGTTTCTGCTCTTTTGTTAATTTAGGGAAGTGAGCATCTTGTATATATTTATCTATATCTGAAGCCTGTACTTTCGTTCCCTTATATAATTTTTTATAATAGTCTAAAAAAGATTTCTTA